GTTAAAATAATCAAAGCACAAAGAAATTAAAGGATACAGGGTTTATTCGAGCAGTTAACCTATATGCATGCAGGGACACTTCACTGTTTCAGAAAAAAACCAGGAGGGCCCCATGGGGGGCAGTTACAGTAAGGTTTTAAGGGGAAAGGAGAAAATAGACTAGAAAAAGAACGATTAGCTAGTCTTAACATGGAGACCCTGGGTGGCACAAACAGTTAAGCGCTCGATTAGTAGCTGAAAGGCTGGCGGTTGAAACCCACACAGAGGCGCCTGGGAAGACAGGCCTGGTGATGTTTCCGAAAGGTCACAGCCTTGAAAAGACTATCAAGCTCAGTTCCACTCTGCACACATGGGATCATCATGGGTTGGAGTCAATTTGATGGCAACTAACAACAGTAGACATTTAATATGATTGACTGAAATCACGTCCCCCTATCTAAGACCAGGTTACTCTATGGTCTCTGTGACCTGGCCAGCCCCCATCATTTGCATAAATCCTCAGGTGTAGTCTGGAGGTGTTAAAATAATAGAAGCACCTTAAGTACTCAGGAAATTCTAAAGTTTTAGAATTATCTCTCAAGGAGCAACGGAAATTGCCTAAAGTGAAATTCTTTGCTAAATTCTGAACAAGCTCATGGATAACAGATGTCTCTGTCACAAAGGGGACTCTGTAAGACCTCATGGTCACTGTATCTCTACAAGATTTCTATCTGTTCTTGGGGCATCTCACATTAGTCAGTGACCTTTGTGACCTTTGTTAATGTACCTAGACACTGAAAGGAATCTTCACTCCCTGCTTTTCAGTTTCTCTCGTTTCAGAAGCAATAGAAGAGCTCTGGAGCACTTCTGCCTGCTGTGGTGGATCATCACACCTGCACATGCTCTACACTACTCAAGTGAGAATTCACGACAGCGAACGTCACTCCAAGGCCACAGCGCGTGACCCACAGCACCCCATGCTGGGCCACTCGGTCAGGGGCTCAGGGGCCTGCAGCCAGCAGCTCCAGTGAACACCCAGAGTCGGTTGCCCAGGAGGTGAGGGCTCCCCTCTACTGTACTAAGTGAGGCCCAGGCTGTGAGCGTATGTGTGAGAAAGGCTATAAAGAACAGCTTCCCTCCAGGGAAAGTCACAAGATCAAGGGCCTTCCCATCACTCCAGTTCAAAGCTCACAGCCACAACCCTCTCCATGAGCACTCCCTCTGATTTGTCAGCTCACAACACGGAGAGGAGACTGGAGACTCCTTCAGTCTGTCTTCAGTGTCCCCACCAGAGGTGGGGAAGAGAGAAGAACACTGAGGCCTCAAGGAACAGCGCCTGAGACAGCTCCAGTGAGGCCGGACTTAATTCTCACTCAGCTCCCTCCCATGTCTGTCATTCTGTGGTAGCATAAGAAAACCTCTGAAGTAGAGTGTTAAAGGAATGTGGGGAAAGGTCACCCCAAATCCAGAAAAGGGCTGTACCAGATTCTTCATACACAGGGGCTGATTCAGAGTGAAACTGTGTGTGTGTATGTAAGAATAAGTCAGTTTGAGTGTGTGTGTGAATGAGTCTGTGTGTTTGTGTGTGTGTGTGTGTGTTTACATTTTTGGGTCCACATATCCATGTATCATCAGAAGAACCAAATGAAGCCTCTTATCCAGTCTCTGGATTCCAAGTCAGACTGGGCCTCTGCCTGCTGGGTCTCAGTTCTGAGCAGACTCTGAGGAGCATGAGGAGTTTGTTTCCAGCATCTTCTTCAGCTAACCCAGCCTGTGAGTGGAGTCCAGCTCATTCATTTTGTGTCTCCAGGACCTGTCACAGCCCCAACTCAATGCAGAGGCCCAGGGAGCACTTTGTAATAAGCTAAGGCATCATGCACGTGCTGGGGCTGCCTGTCTGCTCCAAATCACCCAGCAGCCCTCCACAAGCCTGTCTGCACTGCTTTACCATCACTGGAGGTCACTGCATGGCCATGGGAGGACAGGAGGGCCCTAGACCACACCCAGAGGAGAAGGCCAGCAAGGCAGGCCAGCTCCTTAGGGCTCAGGCGCCTGCTCTGGGCAGTAATACAACCCGCCTCTGGCCAGGGAAGTGTGTCAATAGACTGATCAGGTTGGTGGATTCTTCCTTTGAAAGGCCTGAAAAGCTACCACCCAGTTAAATAGGCCAGAGCAATGGAGCGCTTCTCTTGCCTCAGCTAACCTAAAGGTACAAGACTAAAAGTGGCCAGGGAACATGAAGCCAACATTAGCTTCCTGCCATGTGACATCTGCCCCACTGTCCTACACAAGCAGTCAACACAGCAGGAACAGCGCCTGCTTGCCAGGGCCCACCTCACCCAGGTATGGAGAGTGGCCCCTGACAACAGAGCACCACAACCTCAGGACAGGTGAGGAGGCTTCATGTCCAGGCTGTGGGCCATATAGACGGCCCCGTCAGCCCCCTTGTCCCGACCCATGGGGCCTTTGCCATCTGTGCAGCAAAGAAAAACTGGGCAGAAGACAGGCCACAGTCTTCGTCTTACATCTGAGAGCTTTGTCTTCGTGCAGAAGACTGGCTTCATTCAACCACCTGACACTACCCTTAGCGAGTTTTCTTGACTTCTCTGAGGTCTTGTAGAATGAGACATGGCAGGGACAAAAATGCTCAGAATCATGACCAGGCAGGGACGAGGAGAAGAAGCAAACCCTTGAGTGCAGGGGCATGTGGGGGAGGGCAGGGTCTACCCAGATGCAGGCAGTTAGGGGTGCTTGTCTGAGATTTCCAAAACAATAATAAAATCAACTACAAGTTGGCCTGCTTATCATCACTGCGTGCCAGTGACTTCAAATAACGGCAATGACAAAAGACTCCTCCCCACCAGGGAGCTGTTCCCACTGCCCACCCCACCCTGTCCTTGGAACATCAGGGCCTGTGTGTGCACAAGGCAAACTAACAAACTACCACATACAAGATAATGTTAATAATAATAACAGTGATGATAATGATAAATAGCTATAACTTACTGAGCACTTCCTATATGCCCAGCAGTGGGCTAAGTGCTTCTCCCTCTCTCTCTCTCTCTCTCTCTCTCACACACACACACAAAAACATACAACTTCATTTAACCCTTACATAGCTCTGTGAGAGAGGCAGTATTATCCCTATTCGCCAGATAAGAAAACTGAGGCCAAAAGAGGTGACATAATTTTCCTACAGTAACACAGGGACCAGTATGCTGCATGACTCCCAGCCTGGCGCCCACAGAGCTATGCAACACCATGGTCCCAGTCACAGAGGTAGACAGCTCTGGCCCTTAAGGTCAACCACTCTGCGTACTGCTTGTCTTCATCCACGGAAAGTGCCAGGAGGGCACCACACTGGACACGGAACTAGAGAAAACGCGCACCCACAGCACCTCAGAGGTGCACACATGCAGGTTGGGGAGGACGCAGGCCCCTGCAGCCCTGAAGCCCCACGAACTCAAGCAATGAGTCGCATTAGGCCAGTGAACATCCTCGTTGCTTCTAGACAACACTGGCTGAATTAATTTTCTTGTGTAAAGCAATCATGTTTTGCAGAAAACTGAGAAAAAGTCAAATACGATCTGAAATACATTTACGAATCTTTTGAAACTTGACAAAATGATTTGTCACAGTGCATATGTAGTAAAATAATCGAATTCTTCCCACCAATTCAATAATTAACACACACAGAACAATGGGGTGGCCAATCACAGCATTCTCAAGCTGGAGGGGCAGGAACTCAGACCTGCTACCTGCAGCTCTGTCCTCAGATGGGACATTAACTAACTTCTTCTAGGCTGGGCCTTCCCCAAGAATGGTCTCCAGCTGCCCCAGGCACCCACAGACCTGCCCCCAGTGCACACCCAAATGCACCCAGTCTCTTCCGCAGACTGTGGCAAAGCCACCCTGCACAGCCGTGTATGTTCTGGCCCATGCAGACTTCCTTCACTACCTTTCTCCTCACTGCCCATAAAATCCCCATGCTGTCTCAGGTAGTGAGAGAAGCTTGTCAGGAGTCTGTCACCCTACATTAAACCTGGTGTGCTCGTGTCTCTACAGACAACGAGACAACTGCCAAAGAGCTGGACAATGATCTGATCGAGCAAAAGGATAAACCTGGCCTAAAATATTGCAAGAATATAATGGAGTCCCTAGGTGGTGCAAAAGGTTAATACACTCGGCTCTGACTGGAGGTTAGAGCCCACCCAGAGGCACCTTGGTAAGAATATGGTAGTAGCCACCAAGAAACACCTGCAGGCATCCTGGAGTAGAGACGAGCTGCAGGTGTGCCCTTGCAATTTCCAAGACAGCAAAGGTGAAAACAGTGGATTTCAGATGACAGAACAAAGGCTCTGGTCCTTCTCCTCCAGAGCAAACACCCCTCCGTACACTTCCCCTACATGTACCTGTGCCCCTAGTTAGCCCCTCAGTGCCCACCTCGCGGCCCCTCACCTGCCGTGACGGTGTCCTTGTCCCTGCACTCATACCATATGCCCCCTCACTTGTTGTGTTGGTGTCCACATCCCTGCGCTTCTCCACCTGCTGTGACAAGTGTCCACGTCCCTGTGCCACCCTGCACCCCCCAACCTGCAGTGACAGTGTCCATGTCCCTGCGCCCACCCCATGCCCCCCACTTGCTGTGATGTTGTCCACGTCCTGCACCCACCCCGTGTCCCACCACCTGCTGTGACGGTGTCCACGTCCTTGCGCCCACACTGCAATCCCCCACCCGCTATGACAGTGTCCACGTCCTTGCGCCCACACCATGCCCCCCCACCTGCTGTGACGGTGTCCACGCCCTTGCGCCCACACTGCAATCCCCCACCTGCTATGACAGTGTCCACGTCCTTGCGCCCACACCATGCCCCCCCACCTGCTGTGATGGTGTCCATGCCCTGTGCCTACACTGCACCCCCCCCAACTACTGTGACGGTGTCCACATCCTGTGCTCACACTGCACCCCCTCACTTGCTGTGACAATGTCCACGTCCCTGCACCCACCCCACACCCCTCACCTGCCGTGATGGTGTCCACGTCCCTGGCAGCCAGCTCTTCCACGTCTGACCTCTTCCTGAGCTCAAACCTCCGGGACAGACCTTCTCGGGGTTTCCAGAGCTCCTGGATCAGGAGGGGCTTCTCGTTGTCCCCAAATACGCGGAAACACTCAGCCTGCCACCGCTGTCCGGTGCCACCAGCCCGCCCCACCGTGTCACACAGCACGTACTGGCTGGCGCACTCGGGGCTCAGGGCATAGCGCTCCAGCGCCTCCTTCACCAGCTCTCGGGCACTGGAGGAGACTGTGGCCAAGACGCTCTTGTAGTGGGTGCCCGTGCAGACACTGTCCCCAAACACTTTCAGGATGCCTGGGGCAGAGAGCTGGGTGGATAGCTCGGCGGGGTCATCACTGGCGCCTGGGCTGGAGAGAGGGGGTTCCAAGTCTCGGTACTTGTAGCTCAGTGTCCGTGACAGCATGCTGGACAGCAGCTGGCTCTGCCGCTTCAGCTTGCTTTTGGTGGGTGGAGACATGATAAAGTGTGTCCCATAGAACATGGTGGGGACGTCTTCATGGGCAAGGCCAAGGGCTTCAGTGGAAGGGTGGGAAAGGCCACGTCCTGGGAGGAAAAGGAAGCAGGGTAAGTATCAGTCGCCATAATACATCACAATCAAATGAGGCCCCAGTGGGTCCTGGTGGTCTCCCTCAGTGGCTTGGGGCCCAGGGCCCCAAGAGGACCCACGGTATGCCACCCTGGGCCAAATCTCAGCAGACTACACCACCTATATGGAAGATGTGATCCAAGCCTGCGAGGATGGCAGGAGATGGGTAGGTTTCAATGGACGGAAACACACTGCAAGGAAATCCATTACTAGGAAGTACCTGAGGTCACCAAAGGTAGGACTCACTCTGCTGTGGTGCTTGGGTTTCTACCAAGTGTTCAGCACAATGCGCTACAAGTAGTAGGCACCCAAGCTTCGACAAGCTGGCTCCGTTCAAGGTGAAGAGAGCCCACCTCCCAGCATGGGGAAGGGGTGTCACACCCAAAAAAAAGTTATGAACCACTTAGAGTAAAGCCCTCTCCCTCTCTGTAGACGCAACCTCTCCGGGCCAGCCTCTCGACACCATATTCTAGAATGTGGATGTTTATCACAAGCACAAATGGTGCTCAGAAAACAGGCAACACCTCAGAGTGCAGTCCATCCACAGAACAACAAGCAACCAGACATGCAAGATACAAACCCCAAAATGCTACTCCTCCATGACTAAGACAAAGACATCCATCCTGGCTGGAAGGGGACCCTTGTCTAGGACGGCAGCACGAGAATGTTGGATGACCATGGTGGACACAAAGGGTGTCCCAGAGCCAGAAGCACGTCTGGAATGTGTGCATTCCACCCACCATCGGGCCTGGTGTGGAGGCCTCTCCTGGCCAGAGACAAACTTGCTGGGGGGAATGAGAAAACAGCCCTGGGGAGCTTTGGTGTGACAGAAAATCACAACTCCTGTGCGCTTAGAGCTCCAAGAAGCTTACGGTTCTAGAGACATCTTATCAGTCTCCCTCACAAATCTGTAGGAATCAAGAGCACAAAAAAGGAAGATGGCCCCCCACATTACAAAGCCTAAAGCCTTATGACAAACCTGCAGAATACTGAGAAACTGCACACATTTCCTAAGGACTGCATCATAGACAAACGCAGACAGAGAACAGCCTACTTTCTAGAAGGTTCTGGAAACAGTGGCCCAGGTCCCAGTGAAAGCAGCACTGGGCACCTGCCACTACAACTGATGTCAGCACTAAACTCGGCTGAAGTCAATTAATATTCCTCAGACCTCCCTCACTCACAGTTCTTCAGGCAACGGACAAGGCTCTCAGAAATAGAAGTGACTGCCAGGGCAGAAGAGAGTAACGAGAGAGCCCCCAAAAGAAGGGGAGCAACGCCAACCTTCAGGAAGCTAGCAAGGAAAGTGTCTCAAAGCTGACGCTGTGAGCTCATTTCTTCCAAGCTGTTCACCTGGGCTCCAGTGGTATACTCCAAGGTCCCCACTCCCAAGGCTAAGACGCAGACCGTCATTCACTTGCTTGAGAACCAGTCCCAGTCTACCCACGCCATACACACTTGGAGGACCTTGAACTCATCGGGGCACGTGCCAAAGCCCAGATTCTGAACACTAATGTCTGTCCTATGGGGGAAGGGTGTGGGGAGAGGTGAACACACCTTCTGTTCCTATAACCCACTGCTACAGTTTACAACTGCAAAGCCTTTTACAAGGTACCAGCTTTCTGAAGACTTGGACTTGCCTGAAAACAGTTATCAGTCATGGATATTCCAGTACTGGCCCTAAGCAGAATGAGCGTACAAGGTTTTCTCTGGAGTCAATGAGTAAAACTATACAGGAGTAAATAAGTCAAAGGCCTTGTTTCTCCTCCCCTGAGGAATGTGTGACAAGTGTCTCTATCCAATCCTGAGAAGCCTGATTGCTGGCTCTAGCTCCCCTCACAAACCTGTCAAAGACCTGGAGTTACCTTATAAGAGCATCTCCACGTGGCGCTCACATGACAAACATGTGGCTCTGCCTCAGCGTGCCACCCCACAGCTTCACCACGTGACAAACACACAGCTTTGACTTGGTCTGCCACCCCACAGCTTCTCCTTATGTCACTGGCATGACAAACATGAGACTCTGCATCAGTGTCCCACCCCGCAGCTTCACCATATGATGCTCACATGACAAACATGTGCTCTGCCTTGGTGTGCCACCCTACAGCTTGCCACATGGCGCTCACATGACAAACATGTGGCTTTGCATCAGTGTACCACCCCACAGCTCCACATTGCCAAGGCTAGGCTGAGCCCTGTGGTCAGTTCTCAAAGGAGCACTTGGTATCAGAGGACAAAACCCCTGCAAGCAGCCTCTCAATCCACTTACTGACCATCCCTGAAAGTCATGTGGTCCTGCTTCCAAAATTTCCAACAAGTTCCTCTCACAACACGCCCTGCTTAGAAACCTTTTGGCCCCCAGACATGCTCCGAGGACCTGGCCCTTCATAAGTGCCCCTTTAGCTGGCCATGGTTTTCACATGGCCGTAATGTGCACCTCTGACGGAGCCAGGCTCTGGATCCAAGCCCAAAGTCGTCAGCGGTACAGCCTCCACCCCCAGGCAGCTGGTGGCGCGGGAAGTCTCCACCTTTAGAGAAGGCGTCTGAGTGTGAATTCAAACGTGATGCTGAAAACTGAGGAAATTGTCTATCGGCGAGGAAAAGCCCCGTTGCACAAGAACTTAAAAAATCACCAGACACAATGGTGAGGTGAACCGCTATCTTGTGCCAAGAGATGGATCCAGGTTTTGTAAAGTTTGAAGCTTGTACAACAATCCGCTGCCCTCAAGTTGACTCCAACTCACAGAGACTCCATGTGTGTCAAGCAGAACTGTGCTCCATGGGGTTTTCCATGGCTGATTTTTTGGAAGTAGACTGCCAAGCCTTTCTTCCGAGGTGCCTGTGGGTGGACTTGAACCGCCAACCTTTTGGTTAGTAGCCAAACACTTAACTGTTTCTGCCACCCAGGACTTACACAAATCTCCTTTAACAGAAAGAAACAGAAAGTTACAAACACAAAACTGCTAGGTCCTCTTCCAGTACCCCGGAAGGGGCCATGCAAAGGTCCTGGAGCTTCCACTTCCTGGGCACACTTGCCTCCTCTGCCAGGCCCCTCTCCATCAGCAGCCTCCTGTGCTGGCTTCCAGGGCTAAAGCCAAGCGAGCAAAATCATGAAGGGGAGAACATGTAAAAAGAGAGAGTGGGAGTCACTCCTTCCCAGGAACTCCTTCTTAAGCCCAAAGAGCCTCTACTAACACAAACCTTTATCTACTTCGTTCTGTTCAGAAGCTTTTTTCTCCCTGAGGTCATGTCTCATTGCTGCCATTTAGGAGGGTCACTGCTGACAGCGGCCCCCAGTCCACACTCACGTTCCTTCATAATTAGAGAACGCATGGCGCAGCCTTGGTCCCTGGGTGTCATAAACGGTTTGTGCTTGACTACTAACCTAAAAGTTGGCAGTTCACACCCACCCAGCAGCACCATGGAAGAAAGACCTGGCAATCTGCTTTCCTAAAGACTACAGACAAGAAAACACTATGGAGTAGTTCTACTCTGTCACGTGGTACAGCTTATTTGTCAAAATATCATAGATTCACTTTTTAAAAGGGCAAGAGAAGGGCAGGAGAATCCTCCTGAGCAGCTGGGTAACCAGATCTGTTTTTTGGAAGCATGACCTGCCTTCTTCTCTGCTCTCACACAAACACTTGGGGCCCAGAGAACCAGGATGTGTGACACTGGCTGTTGCTGCTCTGAGATAATGTTTTTCTCTTGTTCTTAAGGAAGAATCCAACTTCTGATGCAAAACAAGCTCAAGTCACACCAGCGGGTGCAGCAAGAGAGGTCAGCACAGGGCTGACAGAATGGGTGGAGGGATGTGATGATTCCAACACTGAAATGTGGAAGCCATTATAATTTCCACCAGTCACAGACATGAAGCACCGAGACTTACATGGGATACCTCATAGAGGAGCTATCACTACCTTCTATGCATCCGATCTTTGCAGCTCCAGCCAGAGGGCTGCTTTTAAATACAAAACTAATTTGTTGTTGCACCAGTTGATTCTGGCTCATGGTGACCACATTTGACAGAGTAGAACTGCCCCATAGGGTTTCCTAGGCTGTAATCTTTACCAGAACAGATTGCCAGGTCTTTCTTCTGCACAGCCACTGGGTAGGTAATCAGCTTTAATTCTGATAAGCCAGCCTCCTGAGAGAGGACTGCCCCGCTCCCCTCACGGGATTAGAGACTGGCTTCTCTCCCAAGGAGGTTCTACTCCTCTGGAATGCACAAGAGGTGGCCCATGATAGCTGGGGACACCTGTAAACTCGGGCGACTCGGAACATTCTTCTCGGCAATTCAGATTAATCAAACACTTGACGGGTGACAGTTTGGCAGGCAGGTCTGCAGCCCCCGCCCCACCAGCAGCTTCCTCACGGGAAAGGAGCCACTTTTTTCTGAGGGGTTTAAATACGCGGAGAGGGATCCCCGAAGCTCCAGGCAAGCATCCATCTCCTCGGATGCACTGTTTGGGGGGCTGAGGGTGGTACAAAAATAGCTTGGAGACAATGCTTTTTGTTGGCAGGCGAAGTGGGGAACAGAGAAACCAGGGCAGGCTGTGGGCGGGGGGCGTACCGCCGAGTCTGGGGGAAAAGTGTGCGGATCCCGCTCGCGGCCCGCGCGACTAGACCGTCCCTCCGACGGGAAAGCCAGGGAAACTGAGGCCCAGGAAGTCATCTGGGGCTGGGGGAGGGGAGGCCCTGACCGGTGATCAGGCTCCAGGGGTCGCGGGGGGCGATGACCGCAGCCCACCCTCGCGGCCATCGGGTGCCGCAGCCAGGGCCGCGCCCGCTGCCTCCTGCTCCCGCAGTCCGTCCCGCGGCCCCGGCTGGTTTCCATGGCAACCGAAAGCCTGGCTCCGCACCCCAATTCGCGGCCGCGAAATTGCCGCTGAAAGTGCCCCGAGCGCGCGCCTCGCGCC